TGTTGGGGGGGGGGGGGGGGGGGCACTCACAGTCATGCATGTCGTAGACGTTAGACCATTGACCTCGCATCCCTATAAATCCGGGACGGAGCACGCCGGGTTCTCACCGGACAAGGCTCTCACATCACACATCACCAAGCGCAAAGCGCCGTGAGGTATTATTCGACACGTCGAGGGGGGAGTGCTCATGTTTTGTACTCTATGCCCTTACCGGTTTTACCATTGACTACGCGTCCTTCCAAAGGACGGAGCATCTTTCCCACAGGACCGATCAAATACGGCCCATCATTCCTTCCTACTTTTCCAAACGTGGCTGGGCATTCCTTGGCGAGGGTCCGTCACCACCAACCCAATTGCACGTGTTTAGCTAACGCATCCGACACACTTCACCTCGGTTCACCACTCGATATCAAGCTGATTGGTCGCTTGCGAGTGTTCCGCCGAACGTGATTTCCCACCCAGCGACGGATGAAACCAAAGCCGTTGGCGTCTGCCACGCGTGAAAGGCGCCTGTCCCAAGCGCAATCGTTGGCTAAGGCCCAGATCAGCACTCTAAGGTGCCCGCGCGCGGCTGTCTGCGTGCAGGTGTCGCTGTCCCAAGGACAGCCCTTTCCACGCAGCCATTGCAGGATCTTGAGGCTCCCCCGATTGGACGCATTCGAGCAAGCCCGTCTATCCCAAGGACAGCCGTTCTCTCTCACCCAGCGCAAAACCCCAAGGTGCTGTCCCCAGGCAGCCCCCGCGCAAGTGTCGCTGTCCCACTCGCACCCATTCTCTCGTGCCCATTGCAACACTTCTAGGTGCCCGCCTTTTGCTGCCTCTGCACACGTTCGCTCGTCCCATGGACATCCTTTACTCCTCGCCCACTTCAGGAGTTCAAGATGGCCGCCACGTGCAGCCCCGGCGCATGGACCCCCTTCATCTACTAGATCCCATGGGCAGTCTTTTTCTCGGAGTCACTCAAGCATGCGCGAGTCTCCTCTGCATGCGGCCAAGAAAGAGGATTGGCTGTCCCAAGGGCATCCTTGAGCAAATGCCGACTGAAGGCCATCGAAGAATCCGCCGAGTGCGGCCGATGTGCATGTCCCTCCATCCCAAGGGCAGCCGTTATCCCGAAGCCACTCCACAATGTCGTGACGCCCGGCTATGGTAGCATCGGCGCAAGCCCCTTCGCCCCATAGATCATCACCGTACCCCTACCTAAAAGGTTCTACACCATCTGCGTCACACTTGTACGTACGGCTAACATATCCAAACCATATCCGTAGACCCACGAACATCCTCCCTGCCTCTTCACGCAAGTGACTAACCATCAGTGGGGCAAAAACACCCCGGATACATCAATAAAATGCCAATACGGTGGTCGAGGGGAAACCCGGCGCCCGGGCAAAACCCCTCGAAAATAAACCCCATCCAACACAAACCATTGCTATCACGGCGGATCACAACGGCCGCACTTATCAGGAAGGCCAAGGCGAAGACAAGAATGCGAGGCAAGCCTCCTACTCCTGCCAATGGGACACAGCCCGCGACAGTAATGCATCTTTCCCCGCATGGTATACATGACCTTCCCCAAGCGCTAAAAAATCCTACAGAAGCTCCGGCAAATTCATCAGCTTTTTCCGGTGGTACTGCAGGTTGCTCTTGCTAAGAGCCTTGGTGAGCATGTCTGCATGTTGCTCCGACGTCGACACAAATTTGATCGAGATGTCCCCCGACCTAAACAATCCACGAATGAAGTGGTACCGCACGTCGATGTGCTTGCTACGCGCTGAGCTAAGGGGGTTCTGCACCAAGGCCATGGCCCCCTGATTGTCCCCAAGGACCTGAATGCTACCGCCACTGGTCTCTGGGGCAATAAACGAAAGCACTGCACGCACAAACAAAGCTTCTTTCACACCCTCTCCGGCAGCAATGTACTCTGCCTCCGTAGACGACAAAGATACGATAGCTTGCGTCTTGCTACCGTGGCTGATGACGGTCCCTCCAACCGTTGTTGCCAGCCCTGACACCGAACGCCTATCCTCAGCGTCGGCGTAGCTAGCATCCACGTACACCGCCAGCCCCAGCCCCGATCCCCGTTTGTAGGTGATCCCGAGGTCCCTCGTCTCTTTGAGGTAGGCGAGGATCTTCCGTATCGCTTTCCAGTGCCTCTCGGCAGGGGCATGGGCGTGGCGCGCTACCGCACGCACAGCGAACGAGATGTCCGGGCGCGAGAACGTCGACACCCACATCATGCTGCCGATGGCCTCCCTCACCGGCCACTCCCCTCCACTTTCGTCATCTCGCTTCGGCCCTAGGTCGGCACCAGGGGAAGCAGGGATGGGGGAGGTCGACTGCACATCAAAGCGATTCACGGTGCTGTCAATGTACGCGGTTTGGAAGATTCTAAGGGTCCCAGCCTCTAGGTCTCTCTCAACGGCACACCCGTCGAACCACACACACTCTCCAAGGTCTTTGGTGGGGAATGCCTTGTTGAGGGAAGCGAGCAACTCCTTGCAATCATCATCAGACCCAGCCACCAAAATGTCATCCACATAAATCACGATAATCATCACCACGACATCGTCTTTCATCTTGCGGAAGACGCATGGGTCCGCCTTGCACTGCTCGAACCCGTTTTCTACAAGAGTGTCGGCAGCGTGGTACCCCCACTGCCTGCCGCTCTGCTTCAAGCCGTAAATAGCACGCTCAGCCTTCACAACTTTGTGGGATTTTTCCCCGCACCCCGCGGGGAGCCTCAAGAACACATCCTCGTCTAACTTAGCGTGTGTAAACGCCTGCTTGACATCCCAGTGGTTGAGTTTCAATGATTTCTCATTGGCTACCGCAAGCATCAGTTTAATGGATGCGGATGATGGGCAAGGGGAGGATGAGTAGAAGTCCACATTCGGAATTTGCGAAAAACCCCTAGCGACCAGACGCGCTTTGAACTTCTCGATTTTCCCCTCCTTGTTCGTCTTCCAAGTAAAACGCCACTTAGAACTCACAGGTCTACGCCCCTCTGGCGTACCGTCTACGAACGAAAACGTTCCCGTGTCCAAGTGCCCATCAAACTCTTCCCTCATGGTCTGTTCCCATCCCTCTCTGTACACAGACTTGGCAACGCCGGCTACTGTCATGGGGGGGGATTCAACGTCACTCGGACGCTTGCCTATGGGGGATTCTGTACTCAGCTCGGTCGACGCCAGGGCCCTCACGAAGGCGTCTGGAGAGTTGAGCACGAGGTCCTCCGCTCCCAGCAGGAAGTCCTCGGCCTCTTGGCGCGCGATGTTGGCCTCCTCCGCGCGCTCGCACAGCAGCGCTTGCACCGCCCTCGCCTCTAGCCCTTCCACCACGTCGACCACACACGCGAGCATCCAGTGGGTGTACTCCTCCGTGCTGTTGATGGGCAGGGTGGGCAGCCCCGCCGCCGACGCATGGCGGGCGAGCAGACCTTCGGCACTCGTTGACGACTCGTACCTCGTGTTCCGGCGAGGGTTCTCCCTGAGTCAGCGGCTGGTGAGTTCGGCCGGCTCGCCAAAGCGGGCGAGCTTCCGTTCCTCGGGCCCGCGGAGCGCCGGAATATCCGCGTCGCTGCCGCTGCGCTGTCACCGCCGCTGTCACTGCCGCTGCCGCCACCGCTGCTGCTGCTGCTGCTGCTGCTGCTGCTGCTGCCACCGCCACCGCGGCTGCTGCTGCTGCTGCGGCGGTCGTCCTCGCCGCCGCCCACATCGGCCATCCCGGTCGACGTGGTAGATGGGGCGACGCTCGCGCCCTCCCTGCTCGAGGGGGCGCCATCGCCAGCGTCGCCCGCGCCCGACTCCTGGGGCGCGGCCGGGCGGCGCCGCCGGCGCATCGCGCGCGGGCGGCTCCGCGGGCCCCGGCGTTACCGTCGTGTCAACCTCCATTCTCAGGTTCTCCCTCCGCGCTCCCTCCACCGTGGCATGACGCACCCTCCCCGCCCTCGTGCTCCCCAGTCGTGAGTTCCTCGTCCTCCTCTGCAATGGGAGGCAGCGGCTGGGGGTGCACGGTCGGGGCAGCGGGCACAGATGGCCAGGTCAAGTTGCGAGTGGTGATCGCTTGACGTTTTTCGTTCAGGATGCGCACGCAATCACGGTTTGTGTTGATTCCAGGGCCGAGGTAAAAACACTTTTTTGCTTTCGGCTCTGACTTGTGCGTGCGCTTGACCTTGTATACGGCGGGTTTGAGGAACGGGTACGTCGCCTCTGGGGGAGGTGGGTGCCCGTGCCACATTTCGTACGGCGATTTCTTGTCCGGGTTGGATGTGGTGGAGGTGCAGTTCAGGGCGTTGCATGCCCAAGCTGTGGCTTCGGCCCAAAGGGAGGGGTAGCTTGGTGCTTCGGGGTAAAGAATCGGCGCTGTATGCGGGCGGCTAGTGCTGCATCCTTGATCAGTCCCAGTGCTCTCTCAGCTACACCGTTGTATTCTAGGCTGTATGCGGGGGTGAACTCCTGCTTGATGCAATACTTGCGGCACAGCTTTCCGAACTCTCCCTCGAAAAACTCTCCTCCGTTGTCAGACCGCACGACCATGACCTCGGATGGGGCTCCGTCTGCCCTGTTTTCCGCTAGGTAACTCTCGAATGCCTCTGCAGCGTCTGACTTGTTTTTCAAGAAGTAGACGCGGTTCCACCTCGTGCAGTCATCCCTTACAACGAGAGTGTACCACTTCCCCCCCAAGCTCTGCACCCTTGCCTTCCCACTCAAATCCACGAAAACTCTCTGCAGTTTCTTAACTGCTCGGGTTGACGTCCTGTTGGGGATGGGCTTGGATAGCCCCTTTGCCGTCAAGCACCCCATGCACTCCCGGAGCTGGCCCACCAGCGTCACCCCTTGCTGCTTCGCCGTGTTCTTCAGCAGCACCTCGTGGGAGTGGCCGTGCGCGCAGTGGAAGTCGTTGATGTTAACGGGGGTGCGGTTCGCTTTCGCGTTACCAGGAGCAATTATGGCACAGGCTAGTTCCCTACCCGACTCTATGCGGTGACCAGTCTGAACGAACAGGTCCCCCCACAGAGGGAAGTACACCGACTCCCCCCCACCAACGAACACCTCCAACTCGTGCTCGTCTGCGGCTAAGCGGCCCTTGGTTTGTTTCAAGAGGGCTGTGAGGGTCACGAGGTTGTAGTTGAGCTCCGGCACATGAGCGACCCGTGTCAACAACAGGTCTGTGGTCCCAACGCGAGAACCGATGGTCACCCTCACGTCGCCATACCCTACGATGGCGAAGGCTTGCTTCCCTGCGGCGACACTCAAACGTCGATCGCACTCATGGTAGTTTTCGAACGCGTTAGCGCTCGGGCACATGTGGTTGGTTGCGCCGGTATCGGCCACAAACCTTTCCTGCCTGGCCTGCTCTACACCCCCTCGATCAACGACTCTGTTCCACTCGCCTGTGAAGTCACGGACCACTAGCGCCTCCTCTGCCACGTCCAGTGCGGTGGCGTCCAAGACCGGCAGCTCCACCGCGAGCACCGCCTGCTCGGACGAGCACGTGCTCTTGTCGTGTCCGTAGCCCAGGCACTTCTCGCATCGCAGGGGCTCGGGCTTGGTACAGGCGGCCGCCTGGTGACCCTTCTCTCCACACCGGAAGCAGCGGCCGTGCATGCTACTTGCACCGCCGCCGCCGCCTCCGCCGCTGTTGCCACTACCACCGCCCCCACCGCCCTTGCTGCCACCCCCTTTCCCCTTCTGGCCGCCACCACCGCCGCCGCCACCCTTGTTGCGGCCGCCGCTGCTGCGGCCGGGCGCTCCACCCCTGCTGCCACCGTCGCTCGCGAGGACGGCATGCTCCGCCTTCCGCTGGCCCTTCGGGGCCTTCCTCCCCTCCGGGAGGCTCGCGTGCACCGTGCTCACGATCCTGACGATCTCGCCCCTGTCCAGCTTTGTCGCCGTCTCCAACAGGAACTTCGCTTGTTGATACTCGGGTGGAAGCGAGTCGACGAAGTGTGCGAGGACAAATGGTGTGTCAGCGTTGAGCCCCTTTTCGCGTAGGCGCATGTATATCTGCTCGAGCTTGCTTAGGTGCTCGATTTGATTGCTGCTGCTGTGTGCCGGGATCGAGAAGCGGAACATCTCTTTCATCAGGGCTTGTTTGGATCCCTGCGACTCGGGGTCGTAAAAATTTTCAAGCTCCGTGAGGACCCCCTTCGCAACTACTGACGACCGCTTTGTCGGTTTCTTTCACCACGGCGGTAGTGATGAAGTGGAACGCAGCGAGCCCACGTGCGACCTCGCTCCTAGTGTAGCGCAAGTCATTGTAAAGTGTGGAGGTGGGCATGTTCGGGTCGCCCACGGGGGCATGTCTCTCAGTACTCCCGATGAATTGACCGTCTAGTTCCACGGTCTTAGCGGCCTGGATGAAAGCGTTTCGCCACGTTCTAAATCCGCTGCTGCGGCCCCCCTCAAGGCGAGGGGCCACCACGTTCACTTTCTTCGAGTGATTGAAGCTACCGATGTAATCACCGTTACCACGAGTTGCGGGTATCTCACCTGGGGGGTTTAACCCCCTCGCTTCCCCGCGGTCAGCTCCTACGCCAGGCCCCACTCTCGCTGGAACCCCAGGACTCGCTCCCGGTATGTTGTCCCAGCGGCTTTCCCACGGGTGATTTGGCCCATCACGGGCCGCTTCCCGGGAAAATGCTCCGCCGCCCTCTGACGGCAAGGACTCTCTGGCTTGGGACGGCAGCACCGCCGCCCCTACTGGCATCGCCCGCCACGGCGTCGCCAGGCTCCTTCCTCTTCAGCTCGATCACTATGCTAATCAGCTGCGATAACTGGTCCTCCAGCCTCGCAATCGCCGGGTCCTCGGCGTGTTGCTGTTGCATGGCTGAGGTCTCTTCCCCCAGCCCTTCGACCGAACTGCTGTCCGACGCAGCCATCACCCGATGCGGCTATCCCTCGAGGGACAAATATTCTTAACTCTAGAGTGTTTGTCGGCCGTACTCCGCGTACTTATCGGGTATTGTTTGTGTAGTGTATTAACTTCAGACGGTGAGGCAACGCCCGTACCCAGGGCGCTGTCGTGCTCAGAAAGGAGGAGTGGCAGCAGGGCTGCTGCACACAACAAAAGGGGGCCCCGGTGCATCATCACCGTACCCCTACGTAAAAGGTTCTACACCATCTGCGTCACACTTGTACGTACGGCTAACATATCCAAACCATATCCATCCGTAGACCCACGAACACCGGCGCGCGGACAGTCAAACTTGCCCCAGGGTGTACGACCAGGGCAAGGTCCATGGTGTCCAACGAAGCGTGGGACCGGACGAGTGCGTCGCAGGTGATGGTGATCGTCTGGGTGTACATCGAAAACGAGAAGTAAAATGAGGAATATATTTTTCGAAAATTGACTACTGTAACCACCTTGTAGCATTAGACGTGTGAGTGCGTGTAGGCGAGAGTGCAAAGTAAGAAGCAAACAACATATAATGGTGTATATCGTGCATATCCAGTATTGACTACAGATTATACTGCATTGTTTATGTGGCTTTGATCGTCCTTAGGGTGCGAGGGAGAGGGAGAGAGCCAATCAGCCGGATAGACCGAGTGACAGACAGACATGTTTGGATCACGGGGGGGGCAATTTCAAAAGGAGGTTCCCTTTACAGAGGGAGAGGCGTCGCCAGGAGAATAATAATAGGTGTGTCTACTACAGTTCCAGGCTAGCGTGCGAGACCATGATACGTGTGTGTGAAAACCCCTGCAGGTTGGGGTGGGGCTTGATGTGTGGCGTCTTCACGCGTGGGAAAGGCAGCGGCGCTAAGCCAGGAACATCCAGCTATCACGACTCATTAAAGTTGATCTCGACGTCAGACGGAGAGAGAGAGACGTGCACACCCTGCACCGTAAGACTTTTCGGAGATGACGTCGATATGGAAGCTGGCGTGGCGTGGAGCAGAAACACTTCCATGGACGCTGACTACAAGAACTTTCATGGAAGCAGGTGACAGCGGTGGAAATCAACCTCCATGGAAGCTGGTCTAAGATGGTAAGACTTCCATGAAAGCAGGCGCAAACTTTTTCGATTGCTTCCATGGAAGTCTTGCTGGGGGTACTTCCATTGAAGTTGGCTGGACGCAATATACTTCCATGGAAGCTCTTTCGATGACTTCCATGGAAGTGTTCGTCGATCACTTCCATGGAAGCGATGCAAACCATTGCAGACTTCCATGGATGCTACCTCATGCTATTTGAAAGAGCTTCCGTGGAAGTCCGTGATTTTACTTCCATGGAAGCTATACCCGACGCTGAATACTTCCATGGAAGCTGCCGTTGCTCTCTTTTGCGTAGCTTCCATGGAAGTCTAAGTTTAACTTCCATGGAAGCTACTCCACTTCCATGAGAGTCCAGTAGGACTTCCGTGGAAATTCGACTTCCATGGAAGTGGCACATCCACCTTTTTCATATGTACTTCCATGGAAGTGTCGTGCAGCGCTTCCATGGAAGTAAAAACATGTCACCATGGAAGTAGGGAGTAGCTTCCATGCAAGTAGATTCAGCTTCCATGGAAGTCAGTATTAACTTCCATGGAAGCTGAATACATTTGTCAAATAGTGTAGGAGATCGCCAGTAAACGGCGACAAACAGACACGTTCTGCGAAGCCTCTACAGATCAACGGTCTCGTAGAGGAACTGCTTGCATGCATGCATAGCGAAGGCCTTTTAGCAATCTGACGAGAATACCGCGATAAAGGCATGTTTTGGGAGTTTTTTTTTGCGTGTGTTCGGATATTGATATCGATGCATATTGAAAATGTCAATGGATTCGTTCTGTGCCATTTATAGATCGTTCTTTAAGGAGACATCGCACGACAATGTTGTGTGAAAAAAATTGGGCAATATTACATAGCTCGCGCCATGATCACTTTCGGAATCATGTTATTTGGCTTTCTTTTGGTGCTAGCGACAGGCTTCAATGCACTCACTACTTTTTCCAACCTTGCTTGGGTGCGCTCGAAATGTGCGGCATGTAGAGAACCCTGCCAAAGTTCTGCGAAACGCGCTCATTTGATCAATGAATCCAAAATGGAAAATGTCGTTCCTCGATATCCAAACCGTGAGTTGTTGTGCCTACGTAATCACCACGCTGTCGTATTTGACCATCTCTCAAAAGTGAGCGATACATGGCGGGGTGGGTCGTGGTGGCGAAATGAACGCACCCCAGAGCTGTAATGTCTGAAATGGTGGAGACCGGCCCAAGCAGTGAAACCAAACCTCCCTCAGAGTACCCTTATTCCACCACGCGCGGTGTGCAGTGTGGGCCAATCGGGAATCAGTTCCTTCGAGAATGATATGATTTGATAGCATTGCCCGACGTGCATCGGGCGGGGATCAAAATTTGTTGGTGAGATCGCTGCAAACTCAGTCCCAAGCTCGGCTAGCATTACCATAGCAATATGATCCAGATCGGTAGCGACTCCCTATGCATCACGTCTGAAAGAATCCAGCGTATGAAGCCCAACCTACGGTAGTTCGATTCCTATTTTTTTCTTATACCGGAACTCGCTCGGGTGCGTACCCTTACGTACGGCCTAGAATCTCTCTCGAACCCCCAAGCCATGATCTCAAAACGGGCGGTAGTAAGTCGCACATCCGTTATAGCAGCACGTTGGCGCGCCATCGCCCATCAGTCAACGAGAGCAGATCCTCAATGAGGAGGTCAAAGGCTTCTATGGTGCCTGCGTTGAGAGCGATGAGGACGTCGGTACTCCTTTCATCCGGGCCGTTGGCAGCCGGGCCACGATCTTGACCACGACCTCTGCTTGTCTCACTCCGGCTGCTACCTCCGCTATCGCCGTTGCGGCCACAGCCGCGGTCGTCGACGATGCCTCGTTCGTTCCCGTCGCGGAAGCTGCTATCACCAAACCCATCCGCTGTCGGAGGCGTCGTGGCCCCGGGGTACATCACGCTCAATACGACGCCCACAAGGGTCTCTCCCCCTGGGCTTGGCGCGATCGTACGACAGGCTTTGACCCTCGCGCGCGCTACCCGCTTGGGGTTCGGCAGCAGGCGGCAGACGCACCCGGACTGGTCTTCCAGCGAGCGTTGAAACGCCTTCGCGAGGCTCAAGGGTTCGCTCTCGGGGAGTGAGAGCAACAGGCGCGTTGCCCCGAGCCTCCTCATCGACATCCTCGTCTCGGCCAGCCTCCAGGTGGGCCGGGAGATGGTGTGGGAGATGGTGTGGGAGATGGTGTGGGAGATGGTGCTGCTCGAGACGGAACGCGAGGGGCTGTACGTGCTAGAAGTGGAGACGGACGCTGTCATGTCCATCCCATCGGTCTGTTGAGTCTCCACGCCGACTAGCGCTGCGTCCCTTGCAGCACTCCTCGTTCCTAGGTCCAACGACCGCAACCTCGCCGGGGTTGGGCTTGCTGGCGATACCACGGCGATCCTAGTGCTGGCGCTTCTAGTACAGCCCCCTACTCGCGGCGACGTGCTAAGCACTTCATAGCGTCGGGAGACAATTGACGGAGAGCCTTCGGACCAGATATGGGCACGCTTTTCGATAACGGTTGCATTCTGTTGCTGGCGTCGCTGGGGTGACGAGCGAGACTTCAGCTGCCTAGACGGCGACATCGAAATACAGGAGAAAACAGGCCGCAGTTGTTTCGGCGCGTCCGTGGTCAAATTCCGGTCGGCACAGGACCACGCACTGCCGGGTGTATTTCGCTCCGTCTTGGGCGTGATGGAGTGCTCGCCGACGATCACCGCCTTTTCTATGAGTCCTGCGAGGTGATGAACTTCGGTCTCGAACCCCCCCGCGAAATTGACCACCTCACTATGGCGAAGCTTCATCACATCTTCCGTAGAGCTCGACAACGTTCCTTCGCTTCCCGCCCACACACACCCTTCCTCCGTGGAGCCCTCCGGGCGGGAGGAGGCGCGGAAAGCGGCCGGGTGGAGGCGCTGGTCCTGAACGCGCCGCCGCCGCGAGAAACTGTGCTTGTCCCGCCTCCGGCGGCGACCCCTCAGAGTCGAAGCTCTAGCGTGAGGGGGGTCTGCCTCTTGGCGCCCCCCACTCTTGCCCATCACGTCCGCCCACGTGCACCTCCAGGCTACCGCCGGGGACATGGACGATGGCGGCGAGGCCGAGGAAGCTGGGGGGAGCGAGTCGGTCAATCCGAGCGACGGGGAAGACGACCGCCGGTAGAAATCAGTGCGCCTGTCGGAGAAACGATAGCGGTCGTGAGATGATAGCACTGAGGCCGAGGCCGGGAGCGACGGCGAGGTCGATTTCGGCCGGCTGCCATCGTGGTAACAGTTGGCCGCTGCCGAAGACTCGTCGCTGCTGTACCTAGTTTCCATCCCGCAGCACGATGTTGCCGCGTAGGACGAGTGACTGTCGTTCATGTCGGATCTTCCACTTGAGTTCGGCAAGCCGCTGCCGTCATATTCGCTCCCGCCCCCACTGATACTGTAGTTGTTAAAGCCGGCTTCCATCTGGACACCTGTATCCCTGCCATCTCTGCCTTCACCGACCCTGCCTCTTTTTCGGTCGTCGTCGTCGATCTTCCAGATATCTAGGATAAGTTTGGGACACGCGTCGGCACCCCCCACGCCTCCGCCACAGGTGCTCTCGCTGCTGCTGCTGCTGCTGCCGGAGCATGGAGTGATGCTCTTCTCTCCGCTGCCGAAAGCCTTTGCGTTGTTTGAGGTCGTTAACCTGTCCGGTGGTTGATGATCCATCCAGGGGTGGAGCCGCACATCAGCTATCGTGTACCGCTTCCTCGGGTTCGGCTCCAGCAAGCCCTCAAGCAAAGACCATGCCGACACTGATATCTCGGGGGGGAGCTTGAAATCTGCAGCCTGTTAGGGTGGCGTTGTTGTGAATGTCGTGTTGGTAGTTGTTATGTGGGGCTGGGTGACTCTCATATTGGGCGGGAGTGTCGCGGAAACTGTACTCGACGGTCAGGTGGTCGTGGCATGGCGCATGGTCCCCACCGCCCCCACGCCCCCCAACGATCCTCCCGTGCATTTCTCGTTTCTGAAACTGGCCGTTGTGTTTGCATGTGCGAAAACGATTGTCACGTGTGTACAAGAAGTCGCTCACGCCCCTAACCACGGGAGAGCTATCACAGTACGTCGTAACTCATCTACAGATACGGAAAAATCAGATGTTCATTTTCGTACCTATGCGCACGAGACGAGCAATTCTTACCCGAATCCTTGCGAACGTTTCCTCAATGCTGTCGGCCTCGAAGGGAAGGAAACCGGCGAGCATGGTGTAGAGCGTGACCCCAGCCGACCAAAGATCAGCCGGTCGACCGTCGTATCCCGCTCCCTCTATAACCTAATGTCGTTCGGAGGATGCGTTGTTGTTTTCGTCGTTGTCATGGTAAATTCTTCCCACCGTGGTCCAGCAGGTCATCTCCTGCCTGCACCCTTCACAGCGAAGAAGTATATGGTCGAAATGGTCGCAAGCTACAGTAACTCAAAGTACACGAAACTTCTCTGGAGACAGATCCACCACTCGCGAAAAAAGGAACAACGTTCAGGAAACTCTTCCGCAAGCAAGGGCTGGAAATCTCGTGGTATCGGCATGGGTTCCGTGTTTAATGTCTCGTCTAACGCAGCCCCGCCCCCACCCCAACCCTCCACCTGCCACGTACCCGTCGTCAGAGGTTGGCGCCAAAACTGGGACGTAAATCATGTCCAAAGAGGTAGAAGCTGTTGCATCGCATGCGGCACTGTATGAGACTCGCCTACGCATCTGTACCAGGTGCCAGCGAGGCTACCACATGGCGCACTTACCTCAGGAGCGACGTAGTCTGGTGTTCCGCACGTAGCGTGAAGAAGGTTGGCCGGGTGACCGCCGATGGATGGGTCGAACAGCCCTGCCAGCGCGAAGCCCGTCAGCTTGACCACACCTCCCTTGCCCAAGAGAACGTTTTCTGGCTGAAGGATTGTAGCAGGACCGGGAAAAACGGCCAATATATACAGCATTCAATGGTCGTGCTATGGATGAGCTATGTAGACGTATGTAGTACCAAGGCATGTTCATTCGGAGCAGAGTTTCCCAGATTGTGTTGTCCGAAAACAGTGGGGTTGTATTCTAAGATGTTGTCGACCTGCGTACCCAGATGGAATGCTGTTGCAGTGGCTTGGAGTCTTGGATGCCCGCGGCTGTGATAATTTCCTTTCCCTCACCTTGATATCTCTATGGCAAATTCCTCTGGAGTGGCAGTGCTCGATAGCGTCCAGAAGCTGCCGGAAGTAGTGGTGCACCAGGTTCTCGTCTTTAAGCCTTTGCATCGAAACGGGCAATGACCGGAACAAGAACAATCACGCGCGAAACCCTGATTTTGAGTGGATGATATGAAGGGTTGTGCTACAGTAGTTGACTGCTAAGCTCTATGCCGAGTACTTGGTAGCAGGAAACAAAACCTCAGACACTCTTCGAGACCCGGTACGCGGCCTGCAGGTAGCGGAGGGCACACCCTGTATCACTCCTTTGTTCCTGCCCGCGCGTGCGAACATGTTGCTTGCATGTGTTCTGGTCCCTGTCTTTGCCGGACTTCTTTGGCGCGAATTTGGTGGAAACGTCCGCTTGCACAAGTGGGTAACGGGAGGAGTAAGCAGAAGGCGGAGTTCTGTTCGAACGAGCTCAAGATCGCACCAACGTATTGACCGCCCGGAAGAATTATGGCGTCAATCAACACCGGCAAACCCAACGCTCCAGGCGACTTCCGCCACGACGCCACGGAATGAGCCAAAGTACACGTTGTCCCAATTCAACGCAGTAAAAGGATGTCGACACAGCGCTGGCCGTTGGAAACACGCGACACCGACAGATCTACAGCATGTACCTGCCCTCCGCAACGATCGCGTCGAAAAGGTCGCCCCCGCCCGCCCGCTCCATGACCGCGAAAATCTTGCTCTTGCTCGCCAGAACGTCGACCAACCGGAAGATGTTCGAGTGCGTGTTGGTGCAACACATGGTGGTCACTTCAAACTCCATCAGCTCGCGAACGCTCGCGGCGTGCATGAATGTGTCGTCCATTTCGAGGGTCTCCACCTCGACTCGCTGATTCGTTCTAAGGTCACGCCCGAGCTTGACCACAACACTCGGAGACTCCTCTTACGCCCGAGTAGCCGAAAGTACATAGTTGTTGCCCAGCATTCTCCCCATGACGATGGGACGACGTCCCTCTCTCTTCCAGTAGGGTATGGGTCACGGGCCATGCAGAAGAGACCACTGACTCTCTCTCTCTCTCTCTCTCTCTCTCTCTCTCTCTCTCTCTCTCTCTCTCTCTCTCTCTCTCTCTCTCTCTCTCTCTCTCTCACTCTCTATCTCTCTCTCTATCTCTCTCTCTCTCTCTCTCTCTGTCGATGACGGCGCCAAGCAATCCGAACTGCACTCCGCAACGAGGGGGCGCCTGGTTCCCGATCGTGTTGTGATGATACCAGAATATGGACCTGACTCGTATCAAAATAGATGGACCTGACTCGAGGCTTGGTCTTCGTTGATTCCAAGGTGCTGTTGTTGTGCTCACAGCTGGTGTTGACCTGTTGCTATGTTGTTGGCGAAGGTGCTGGTGCCTTCATCTTGTGCTCTTCGGGCTGCACTTGGAGGAATGTTGATCAACCCGATAGACCGTACGACGCTGTACTGCGGTACAATCGTCGTTGCTTATGCTTGCTCCTTACCGGTACAATACCCCCTCGACTCGTCGAGCGAAAGTGTGTGTGTACTGGTGTGGTCAATTGGTGAATGTGCTTGCGAACACCTATAAGGAGACTCGGGGAACCGCTCTGCCCTCGTACGTCGGCAAGTACGCATGGGGCTGCCGCAGCGACCAACGACCAACGACTAACGACTGATTATTCGAAGCATATTCACGCAATCACTCACTGCTGTCGTATGTCCCAGGTCAAAGGGATGTGTTGACGCATTTCCGATTTCGGTTTCTATTGGGCGAACCTTTTCCCGTGTATCCTCTCAAAGTCGAACAGGATGTGACGTGACCGACAGATGTTGCGGTTAAAAAATGTTAGTTCAACAACTGCAAGCGTTTCGCGCAAAGGGAAAAATAAATAAATAAATAAATAAATAGAGATGGATTCGTTGTGTCATACTGTAAGAAAAAAAAAAATGTGTCCCTTGGTTTCGGGCCGACGCCTCCTCAAACAGTCGAAGCTCCCATGATCAGGTGTGGGGAGAACTGGGTCCTCTTCTCTGCTAACAGGCTCGAGCTTGTCAGTGCAGGCACTTGTGCTCAAGCGTATTTGGTTCGGTTATCGTTGGGTTCGTGTCTTATTACTGACTCGGCACTCTTGCAATCAGCTCTAGACGTTCGGAACTGAGGGCAAAGCAGTGAGAGTGATCATGTGCGAGGCTTGACGGAGCCAAGCTTCCGGATGGTCCAACTTCAATAATCGTCACGAACAGACACACACGTCAGTCCGTGGTCCGTGATACCTCTACACAACCATCTGATTCGCTGCACTTAATCCAATGCTATGAACTCTCTCATGTTACAGGCTAACTCTCGTGACTGTAGGTCTATGCTTGTCTCAGCACTAGGTCATCCACATTCAGCACTGCTGTAGCAGCAACTACACTACTGGGTCGGTCGGTCCAGTCGTCTAGACACTCAGAAACGTGTCGACCGTTTCTTATCTCAATCAACCAAAAACGCATCGCAAATTACACTGAAACCCATTCTCACCACACAGGCGATCAGCGAATCTATTAGCATGCAGTGTGTCTGTGTGCTGCGTGCACAGCACTATTCATAGATCATAAGGTACAGCAGGGACAAGCGCAGTTGCTGGGCACTGACACGACGCGAGCGCTGCAACACGAATCAGTATCTTTGTTGGAGGTGGTGGCCACTCCTGACGCACACCTACGTACTCAACTTCAAATCAGCACGTGGGCACCCGCTGGCCCTGGCCTCTCGATGTACATATGTAGAGAGACTACCCGTTTGAGAACATACAAGGAGGGGGGGATGTTGGAAGTGTCAGCGAGTGAGCCTGCTCTGTACTGGGCGCACTTGGAGTCGGTCGTTGACCAATCAGCGAATTGCGTGCCACAAATATGTCCACACTGAATGAACCGTGTGGCTACGTTAGCAAAAAAATGCGGTGCAACTTCATAGTCCTAAGTAGTTGACCGGCGGAGGAGATGCCCTGTTTATTGTAGCGAGCACAATCAAGTGGCACCATACAATGTCAATAGTGACCTGCCCTGAATCGCGTCCTCCTGACGCCACTACTAATCGGGCCCACCTTGCTTTGGGTCGGAATAAGAGTTTGACCCTTACCCAGTCCCTCAACAAAAAAATTGTTGCAATAAATGTTGGTCAGCCGTTGGTCGAGGCCAGACTATACAGTCCCCCCAAAGAATCTGAGCTCCTTGCCAGACAAAGGGGGACTCGGCTTCAGTATGAAAAACTATCCTTCAACACCACAATACTACGCACAACCGATCGACTTGACTTTGGTCGCTACGCACTGGGAAACTCCAGCTCCAAAATAGGACAACAAGTGAATCCAAGGTCTTTTTGCGAGTGAATCCACCGACTTTGCGAGCGAATCCACCCACGGGCCCCACTCCTTGGGTGGCTGCGTCGTCCCGTTAGGTCATGCCCACCTTAGTTTATTCGACAATGCCGGCCGACCATGGCACACGATATGGCGCTACAAGCACATCGCATAGATAAGCACGTTGCGGGGACCACACCCTATTGTGGAAGAGGGTTCACCGTGCCTGCCCGCCGCACAACCCACGATAATTTCTTGGGTGCACGTTTTACCTGCCACACTCTCAAGATAAATTTCTTCGTTGTACGTGTTGCTGCACTTTGACCCAACACCCGAAAATACAATGTTCGGAACAAGCGTTCAAGAAACTACACATGCCGATTTCCCCAGAGGGCGGCAAAAATCGCTTCGAGTCAGCGCCCCGTTCTCCATGGCAACGGCCGTGACGTTTATCTCCGCCGGCTCCAAGCAGCAGTAACGACTCTCGCCTATTTAACAAACTTAAATAGCAGGCGGCGGCCACGGCATGCTCGTATGGTGTTAGTGACTCGTACTTGCCATTGTAGGCTTAGACCTCTCTCCTTCACAAATCCCTAATCCAACGCCACCCTAGGTTCTGTCTGGTCCTTAACTCAACGCCCACACACCGGGTCGTGTTTCGAGTGGTGAACGGACACAACCTGGCACTGGTATATTAGTAAACAAGGTGGGCGTGCGGCGAGTACTCAAGGACGGTCTTCCAAGAGGACGCCAGGTTTCCTCTTCAGTTGTCCCTGCTCCCGCCGCCGCCAGCGGTGCCGATGGACGCGATGGCGGCGTCCAGCACTCGCTTTTTCTCCATGCGGAAGCTGAACGCGACCCGCTTTTGGGCTGCGAAAAAAACAGAAAAGAACACCAATCGTACAGAGACAAGCACAGCAGGGAGAGAGCACAGGTCGTGATCCTAAACGCGCCAGTGGGTGGGGGTGGGGGTGGGGGCGGGGGAATCTCAACATTGACCCGACTACAACGGTATAAGACTCAGCAAAAGTAGTACCATCAGCAACAGTCAAAGGGATAGGTGCGAGTACAATACAGACACAGGAACTCACTCTGCAAAACCCTGCCATGGTATGCTAACTCAGAGAGATGCGGCAATCCTCTCGCAAGTT